CGTGATCGATGTTTACTTTTCAGATTTAACAGCGTTAAAAATCCTTGCTCGCACAGGTAAGTACTGGGGAACACCAACGAAGAGTGCAGAACAACATCAGATACAACAGGGTAACTCACACTCACCTTCGTTCAAAACTGGGTCAGAGTGAGTATTTCAGATGCATCTTTTGCACAGAGTCATTCACTCGTTCTATGAATTCTTCTCGAATGTTATCTGAAAGAGATTGCACCACATCTAAATTTCCATTATTTTTATTAAGTGCCTCATCAAAGTTTTCAAACATGCTCAGATTTCTATCTTTGACCTTTTTTTCCCTGGGATCGAGCTTCATGATAAATGCCCTTAGTTTGGCCATGAAATCAACCATTGTATCAAAACGGCCTTGGAAAGACAAGTTCAATAAGTTGAGCGTCGATAATATATAAGGAAGGTAAGCCAGCTTCTGAGGCAACTGGCTATCTGACAGTTTCTCAATGGACTAAAGTGACCTTGTCTTGTTTTCACGTTTGAAGAATTCACAAGGTTCCCCCTTTAGTGATTCTACTTCACTCATCATCTCCTTCTAGATAACCAGCAGACTTCAGTGTGATACAGTAACGCTTCTTAATCACTTCCTAATTCTTGACGCAGTGAGGAAAACAGCCGCGTATTTGGGGAACTGGATCTGATGGTATTTATCATATATATGCACAACATCATCAAGTACTAATCTTAACCCATGCCAGAGCAACATATATGAAGCATACAATGAAGATGCCTTGTCTTAGAATTCTTCTTAGAAAACTTCACCACTGACGTATCGTACAAATACCAGTAGTTGAGCACAAGCAGCCTCATCAGTTGATTCATTGCAAGTTTTCTTGCAGGTGCCGTGTTTAATTCAGCAATCACTTGTTGTTTGACATCATCTCACATATCTACTATTCGTCAACGAACTGTATCGTTTGAGAGGGGTATTGATGCAACCTTCTTCTCAGCATTACAACCAACAACACAGCAAATTATATCTTTACAGCAAGAGACGATCAATTTATCTGCAATATTGTGAGGTTTTTTTTTCTTTCGCAATTCTCAGTGATTTAGGATGACCATGTAGGATGAACGAAGCCCGGTTTCATTTTGTTGACTAAATACCCTGAACAATCAAGGCGAGCTCGCTTCAATTCAACTTTTCTTTGCTTGAAGAAATCCTTACTTTTAGGATTTGTGTGACAACTGCTCAATGACGTATGAGAAGGGTAGGCTTCATGCACTTCACGGATAAAACCTTGCAGCATATAACAAACAATGGAAAATCGTGCCAAATTTTCTCAATGGCAGTGAATTCATACTGGATGTAGGATTCATCATACATTCTTTTCTTCGCTGATGAGGACATAACTAAAGTTTAAAATTAGTAGTTAGTTGTTGTTATTTTGCTATCTATACCAGTGATTCCCAAAGTGGGCGATATCGTCGTGAGGTAATTTGCGTAGCCCAGGCAACCTACGTTTCGCGGGCCAGATCCGGCCCGCGGCGCTTCACTGAATTCTAGCGACAAAACGGCGTTTTGACAATGAATTAATTTTATAATCTACGCTCGAGGAGTAGATTATATTTTTGACGTAACAGAATTTATTGTGAGACGCGTTTAGATTAAATTATATTATAACCTAACAGTGTAGTGACAAGCTACTTGCCTAACGATCCGACAATTTAATTATAATTAGGCAAAAGGCACACGCAGAAAAGTTGATGCTGAGTGCAGGGTTTCAATAGCGCATTAAATATTCAAATGGGGCTTCTCGAGATGCAATGCAATGAGGAAATAAAATTCATATTCTATTTGAGAGATGCATCACTGCTTGATTTTTATAAAAATGTATCTTCTTAATGAAAATCAAAATTGGACAAACCATGCGAAAAAATTTACTTTGATGTTTGGAAGTACATATGCGTCATGCGAGCAACTATTCTCGAAAATGAACGTTACAAAGAACAAGCAGATAACTCGGATTAGTGATGCCCATTTAGAAAATTCTTGGCTTCATTCAGTGTGCCGTCAAAAAGCTATCAAGCGTGATGCAGCAACAAGACAGTGTCACGTTAAATGTCATTTGTAATTTTTTTCTTTTAATAAGACGACTTAGTTAAGATCACGAATTGTCGCAGTCTTCTCGCGCTGTTCCGGTTTTAACTTTAAAAAAATATGTGCGGTCAGCCAAGACTTGCAACTCATTTGCAATTTTGGCCCGCGAGCGACAAATGGTTGCCGACCCCTGGCGCAGCCGATGGCCGGTTACGGCTTCTCCCACTATCAAGTCCATGGTATGAAACAAATAAATGACTGATCAATTCTATGGACTGGTAACCGGACTGGAGGCCGTGGCACATGATGAGGAATTGAAGATGAATTTTTCCGAAGATCGTTATGATGTATTTCGGTGCAGGTCATCAGGCAAGTACCCGGCGATTTTTGAAGAGGTAGAACTTTTATTTCCGACCTCTTACATGGTGAAAAAAGAGATTTCAGCCGTGACACTATTGTTATCAGAACAACGAAATCGCCTTGCCATCAGTAAACGGGGTGATTTGAGATTGTGCCTGACGAAAATGTCACCCAATATTTAAAAACCCGCTGAAGACCACCAAACTCATCCATCCCAATAAAAACACTATAAACTATGTTTGTCTTGTCGTTTATTTGGTCTGTGATATATTCGTTTCTGACTTTACATTTTTTTGGAGTGTAAGGAAATCACTGCTAGCAGCACATTGTCTTTTGATATTTTACAGTTTGGCTGCAAAGCCGTGGATTTCACATTGTTGCGTCACAACAACGCAAAATCAGGGTAAATCTACGCTGAGTTCCAATCGGGACGCATAAAAACTCAACTGCCGTCCAATTCCCCCCAGAAATCTTCCCGTGAAGCCCTGGGGGTTTGCGAACCGCAGGTTCAGAACCCCTGCTCTAAAACGTCCAAACCTCTTTTAACAATTCATTTAGTGGGAGGTGGTCCACGGCGCACAGTATCCAAAATCCGGTGCGCGTTTTGGTGTTTAAATCCGCCTTTCGGTGAGTTAAGACGTCCCCGCGAACGAACAGCGGCTTTGCAGAGCGACGCAAGCTATGAGATGAAATTGATTTTGGGAGGTTGAAACTAAAAATTCGCCATCGCAGTCTTTACTTTTTTCTACTTCGGCCTTTCCAACAAGACAAAACACTTTCTGGTATTTTTTTAGCTTTAGCCCACTGTGAAATATTCGTAACGTAGGCGAGTGGATGTGCCTTCTCAATCTCGACGTGGGTCAGTCTGAAAATATTTGATTCCTATGGGGAATAATGGTCCGGGGTTCAGTGGCATAAGCCCCACTAGCCAAAATTCGGCAATCTTTTATCCATTAAGTGCTTAAGACGCCAAGAGATGCTCTATGTTTTGTTATATTAAGGTATATTTTGGCCCATACCCCAAAATGAAATATATTTTGGATTACAAAACATTTTTCAGGGTGTATTCGAAAAAATAAATTATTTGCCTCTGACCGGAATTAGACATTTTACTTGTTAGAAATGTTGGTTCTGTTGTATTATTGGATGCATTTAACAGTTTGGTGATTGAAAAAAAATTCGTTTTATTGAACTGCATTCAAACACTTTATTTGATGTCTATGGCCTTTTTACAAAGAAATGGAAGTTTCAGAACTCATTTTCAAATGGTTGAAATTAGGCATAATCCAAAAGTAAAACAATGAATTTATTCAAGTTTTAATATTAGGAATCTGAAATATGCAACAAGTAATTTAATTTTCCTGATTTAATTTATAGCTCCAGAAACATAAAAAGACCGTATTCGTGTAAAAACTAATTGCTACGTCTCAGGCCGAATGATTTCGGCTGGTGGCCGTAATTGGCCCGCGAACGGTGAGTTGCCTCACATTGATAAAAACAAGAGACGCATCCAGAGGGTTGGCGAGTCATATTCCTGTGGCAGTGTATGTCATCAAAATGTAACATTAAAAACTAGAGTCCTAGACCCATGCTAAATAGTAACGCAACTTCATACTCAAGGAAATGAATATTTTTGCATTTTTAAAACCTTGCAAAAATTAACTTTTAATGGTAAAATTGTTGGGATTCGGTGGAAGCGTGTAAAATAAGGTAGGAGTTCGCACTTTGTGAGAAACACTGATCTACGTATTGGCTCAACCGAAGAAACAAAATGGATGCTCGTCACCCCGAATAGACCTTCAAAAGCAGCCCAAACGTAAACTATGGGCTTTAATTTCATTGAAGTTGTGAAAAATTACATCAACTTACACATTTTTGCGCAGGCTTCAGCCATGGCAAGCAATTTCTACTCAACAAGAGGACTATAGTTAGGGTTGCCATACCGTGCTTATTTCTAAGATTTGTGCTTATTTTCTAGTGTGTGTCTTGTAACGATGTGCTTATTTCTAAGAAAAGTGCTTATTTTTGAGTTACGTGCTTATTTTGTCTTAGAAACATGGATGACTTGTTTATGTTTTGCGTACAAAGCTTTCGTAGAAACGAGGTACGATCTATTTTTATTATACGCAACGTGTTTAATTTGAAATGATGCGTTTATGTTATGTAATAATCAATTTGTTACCCACATTTTGGGTTAGATGGCTGCGCGTCTCATTGAATATGCGCAGACGCCCTTTGGATTGTTGTTTTCTGTGCAAGATGTTGAATGCTGGATGTTTATTGTGTGTACCTGCCTACTTTTCTGTAGCTTCTTACATTTTAGAGGTTGCGTGTGGCCGTTATTTAATGGTTTTCCATGGCCTTGCGCGATTTTGGGGCTGCATGCAACCTTGTTCGAAGCGACTTCTAATAATAAAAAGTTGGAGTGCGGAAGAGACTTGTGTATGATTCTATTCTCATTTTCAATGTGCCGTTGTTAAGTAACCCCCAAAATAAACTTTAGACACCAGTGCTTATTTTTGGCTCTAGGTCGATGGCAACCCTGACTATAGTAGAGACGAAATCAATCTCTTAGCGCGATGGCCGATGAACCTGGGGAAGCTGAGAAAGCCGATGAACCTGGGTTGTTAGAAAAAATTGGACAGCCACGATTCAGATGTATCATGCTTGGCAATAGAACACGGAGGTGGGTCGTTATTCTAATCACTTACCAGCTTCTATCTGATGATACAGCAAATAAACAGAATCATATAAAACGTTTTTCAAAACCACACGCATAATTAGACCGCTTTTGTCGGACGCGCTCAAATTTTCTGTTTCATTTGCACTGGGTTAATTACCATGCATCAATCAAATACTTTTGTTTACTATTTGCTTTGTTTATTTGTAGTAGCTCTTTAGAGTGAGTAGTGATTACGATAATTACATGCTTAGCGAAATAGCAATAGAAACATTTCATGTCGCAGTTTCCGGAGTCTACTACTTCAGGATATTTTGAAATTTTATTTTCGGTGCTGTTTTGGTATTTTAAATATAAGTTTATGTTGGAACCTGATTGCTGCACCATTCTCTTGTATGACGTTGTATACGTGACGCCCAAACCAGAACGCCGCCATAAGTAGCCTATGTGGTTTATTATCGTGAAATAAGACTGGATGCGTTGGTTTGCTGTGGAGGAAGTTAAGATCTGTTCCCGACACCCTTACATATTTTAGCAGTTCCATTTCACTGTCGGACCGATCCTTCACTTTTTACTGCTTTTCATGACCTACTTCCTCTACTCTATATACTAGAGAGCAGTGCAGCATCATTGATTGCAAATGTAATCTGTGAAATAGTAACGCTAAATTTTTGTAGTCTCATGGTTTTCTTACATATTACAAAATCGGTTATTACTAGTAAATCATTATTAGAACATCATGATTTTTTTTTACATGCAAGCGATTGCAACACGATTTGTGCGCCGCTTTGTTTGCGCACTTGCGAGATTTTATATCCCGCACACTTTCAGATTACCCACCAAGACATTTATTTACTGAAAAGGGCATTAGGACATAATCTGGGTGCTCAGTCTTAATAGCGACAAATATATTTTTATCCGGGCTTTTGTTCTGTTATTATTTGCATTTGAGAACGCTTAACATGTATTAAACCTATTTGCATGAATAACGTGTTGATATTTTTAGAAACAAATATATATCCCATTCATTTGTTTGTTTCAAACAAAGAAAAAAGCTCAAGTACTTCGTATATAGAGTGCACCTCGTGGAAAACGACATTCCAGTTGACGACATTCTATTGATTAAACCTTAAATAGTACGTAGGTTAAACATTAGGTTTGCGACCGAAGTTAATTATAAACCAGTTGCAGTTTGCGTCCTATCTTTCTGGGTTTCCCGTGACGCTGCTTGTGATTGGATGCAACGCGAAGACTGTTCAGATACGCCACACTACATAATGACATGCAATGTATATTATACTATAACTATCCTACCAGGATATCCCCCTCTTATAAGAATGTAGAAATGAGCTAAACTCATGTTTCAATGTCCAATTTCTCGCAAAATTTCACACTCAAATTTCAACAACCATATTTCTCGTAAATGTTTATACTGTACCATATTCCGCAACATTCATATCCCGCATAATATTTGGAACATCGTCAAAGAAATAATTTTACAATGAAAAATGCATAGAAAACACAATGGTGGCTATGTTCGTAGAACAGGTGGTATGTCATAAGCAGTTAATTATCAAATATATTGATTAAATATATCCATATAATTTTGTTTTGTCGCAACGTGATCAAAAAATAATTCTTCTAAAAAAGTTCTATGTTGATCACGATATAAATAACTTTCAACAAATTTCACTTTTAGTTGAAATAGTTGTCAATTAATAGTTATCACAATTACTGATTTCTTACAGTCAAATTTTTGGTCAATTTCTCGGTTCACTTTGTGGTGATATTCAGTGAAAGTTTCCAACTTGACAAATTTGAAGAAAAAATATTCATCTAAAAATGCTGATAATATTGTATATATTAGCAAAATGAGTAAAACAACATATTGTTAAATTTAGATTTTCAGAGAAAATTCATTATTTTGTTTCCTTTTGTGAGCCATTCAACTCATATTCAGTGAGATATACATATTTGAAATAAAGGTTAAAAAGTAGAAATAAGTTTACAGTTTAATAAATAAAATATGAAGATGATTCGCGTATAAATAGAGCAAATGTAAAAGTTCATTTTTTACAAGTACGGCGATCAGATGAACTAAATACTTCCGTGTTCTCTGATTCAATTATAGTATATATATGAAATATAATATACTTATGACGCTTTCAGTTGACTGAAATAATTAGGCCTGACAACTGCAATATAATAAATTGTTGAACTACAGGTATAACTTAGAATTTTTTCCAAGCAATTGTGAAGGAATATTCCAGATGGGACCATACCAACGTTATTCAGTATTTTTAGATTCGTCTTTTACGGTTACTAAAGGATTATCGTGACATTTGGTTGAAACGTCAACTTCAGGTTTGGGTTGTGTATAGACCGTAGGAACTGCAGCCGGGTTTACGTACACATTACCGCTTACGTTCTTCCCGGCGACTTCTATATAAGATGGCGGAGGAGTGCTGCCCAAGGGATGACATTTGTAAGGACATTTGTTGACATTTGAAGATTTTTCATCGATTATACTAATCCCTTCGATCGACATCTTTTTCTTATAGCTTTCCTGAAGTGACGTTCTTCTTTTCTTGTTTTTCTGTATCTTTCTATAACGCCTAAAATACAAACGAATATTCCGCTTAAAATTGCTGTCAACAACTCATATTGAATTTTTGAATTCTTTGCAATGAAAATTCAACACAGCGTTGTCATTGCCTATCAAACAAGCAATTATCCATTCACGTGAATTTTTATGAATTCTGTCTGTATTCATAACTTTTGATTCAATGAATTCTGAGACTACTGTTAAACACTGTTATTGTAAAGCTGTTATTTTAAAAACTTGATTACGGTTATTTCGCATACTGGATCTGTTCTGGATTCCTTGAAAGTATATATGTACCTTACCTCCAAACGATAATCCCGACAATTGCGAGGATAAGAACAATAAAACCAGCGACAACACAACCAGCAACGAGTTCTTGATTTTCCAGTTGTTTAGGACTTGTATTGAATTCAATAACACTTTTCTGGCATCTTTTGCCCTCATATCCTTTCGGGCATCTATGGAATGAGACAGAACATTAGAAATCAAACAATAATTTATCTAACTGCAGTGAAGCATATCGAGATATTTTAGTAAGTTAAGTCGTAATAAGGAATTCGACAAACTGAAATAATTTGTAACTTAAAACATAAATTTGGTGTCGAATGTTTAAAAATTTATTCGACTTACAAGCACGAGACTTCAAGAGTTGATCCAGTTCTTCGACACTTTCCACCATATAAACAGCCGCACCCAGCTGCTGCCGTTGTGTTCAACGTCTCTTGAGTGGTGGTGCTACCCACGTTTGCATCTGCTCTGTCCATATTTAGTAGAGTATAAATACTATCAAACTTACACTTAAAATTAAAAAGTATTTTATCTGTAAAGAAGAACATTTGTTCATTGTAAATCCTTCTTCTAATTCAAGTATATCACAAAATTTGTGTCATTCTACGACTTCAAATGTCATTATAATGCTTATTCAGAAACTTTGCAATGTACATGTATTTTGTATGCAATATATTATTCCTCAACCCTGATACCGCAAGTAATTCTATATCTTGACCTGAACTTATATTTGCTAAAGGATATGAAATATCACTAACGCTATGGAGAGCCAACTCCTCAATTTAAAATCGTTTATATTTTATTTGATTTATATATACGAATTTTACCCTAATTAGATGACCAATTTCAACTATTTTTAGAGATAAAAATAAATTACGGGTCGTTATGGCAATTTTTCCAGCAAAACTATTTAGATTATTATTACGAATTTCCTACATTTTTTGGTTAAATACCAATTTTCTCTCAATTACAAAGGTGAGGCAGTTTTTCTTTCATTTGAAAAATATGACAAAATATAATTAAAAATCTGATTTAGTTAACTATAATATATCACAGTTATTTGCTTTTAAAGTTTTGTCAAAAATCAATTAACTATCATATATATATCAGTCATCGAATGCTTCTTGTAAATGAGATCTCTAACATCGACACAAAGCTGTTGCGATATAAACGTCCAGTGTTTCTGAAATAGTTTCCAATGATACTTTATTTCAGTATATAGTATGATTTGTTATTTATAATGATAGTATAATGTTTTTTCCGCCTAGCAACTGCAATATGTTTTAAAGTTGAAAAGTTCATAATAAAACGATCATTATTTTAAATGTCTTCAGCGTGTTGCGTGGTTTATCACAAATCTGTTTTTCCCTCCAAAGTAATTTATATTAAGGTCATTTTGAATCGTTTTATATGCACTTCCACGTAATAAGAGGCGAGGCTGTTTCTTAAAATAACTCTAAAGTAACAAACAACTTCAAAAAGTTTTATTACCTTTTGGTGTTTACGCTTTCAGTGTATCATATCCAATGAAAGCATTATTGCGTGAACTTAAGAGGAAGCTAACTTATGATAAAATCAGTGCTTACCACGACCGTTACGTCCGTCGTGTGTTCAATCTGCAAAGAAAATAAATACGTGTGGTCATGACTCCATGCCAGCCAGCAAAAACGTTTCAAATTTTAATTTAGAAGTAATTTTATAAATGACCCCCCGATATTATTGCCGTCGTTACTTGCAAATCGCAAAGTAAACACATTAAGAACATTTCAGTATAATGAACTACCTTCCTGGTATATTTTCAACTTATTTATATTAAATTTATTAATGGATATTGGCTGGAATCAATTTTCAATAAATTGCGTTTTTGAAATGACAAAAAAGTGCCAACTTTTGAGTGCAACACTTAAGTAAAACCAAATTACCCTTTTAACGTAGAACATCAAAGAAATTTTTATATATTACAATATAAACATTTTTTTCTCTGTCTCGCTATAGAAATTGACACATCGGACAATTTTCTGAGGTGATGAATTCAATAACAAGATATATATCACACTAAAAATAATATACATCTTCAGTAAGTGCAAATGTGAACGACGTTCCATTCTAACCTTTTTTATAAACTTTGCCTCATAAACAACGTTCACCGGCGCATCATGCAGTAATGTAGAACACCACACCTTTCCTTATCTACCTATACATTCCTTTTTCGCATTTATATACATATATAGTTTGACACCTAAATGAACATTACGCGATTCCGGTTGATGACACTACTATTGCCTCGAAGCAAATTAACAACACCTATTCTCCTCCGACATGACGTCAAAGTAAAGTGATATCGCAAATATTACAAATTTAAATACGTTTAAATGACACCAACCAAATGTCTCACTCATCGCGTAATTCATTGAACTGTAAGGAAATTCTAAAATTAGGACATTTCGCTAAGCAGCAAGTATTTTCTATCTTGCAAATTTGAGTTTTGTATCGTTGAAAATATGCTTTGCGGTATGTTTATGTGGCGATGCAGTTAGAATGCTTTATAGAAATCTCAATAATATATTTGCCAACCACAATCCATATACTAGAATCAACCTTCCTACGAGTTTCGCCACATATCATCATTGATTGAAATTTCAAAATGAACAGTCTGAACAAAATGAAAACATGTTTCAAATCCAATAAGATACGTATTCTATAACGATTATAGTTCTTGTAACAGCGAATGATAAATTTCATTTTCAAAGGGGGAACATTTCGCGAATATCATAATGTGGATTTGATTGAAATATTTAAAACAAAGAGAACTGTTGCTCGTCATTCTAGAATTGCTTAATACTTTAATTGGGACATTTTTAGTCTTGTACAAAAATTTTAATTGTTATCTCATTAATTAAATCAAGAGAGGAAGCCAGATAAGAAGTTAAGTGCTGTTGACGTAAGATGATAAAAGCGATGTTCCGGTTTTATTGCGGGACTTTTTCATTGTTTTCGTGTGACGATGACGTCATTTTGCTTTTTGATTGACGTCAGACATGCCAATGTCAGGTTTGTGGCGAAATAAGTTGTAGTTTCGAGATTGTGGCAAGGCGCTAAGTCGTTAAGCGCGAATTCAGTTTCCAATTCTCATTAGTTTGTTTCAAAGGCCTTTTTATACTTGTTGAGTAATATTATTTCACAAATAAAATAAATATGAATAATTTTATTACAGTGTTCTTATTTTATAAACTTTCTAGAAAAATCTGGTTCGATAAAACTGATTTGGCAACCATATACAGTGATTTTGACCTGAGGATTTCTCCGTTGAATCACAAAAGAGTTTTGATAATTTCCAAATGAGTCGCATTCACTCCAAAGAGATTCTACATATGAAATTAGAATGTACAATAAACACTAAATCACTCCGCCGCGACGCTCCACCATTTTGTACAAACAGGAATGTTGCCAATGATTTTCTTTCAATAATGTAACTACATAATGGCAATGGTACCGAGCCATTAAAGCTATTTTGCATAAAAGACTTAGAAGAACTGTGTGTTATTCTAGGGCGAAGAGGTTTGTTTGCCTTTTATATGTGGAAAATATTCCGCATACAATTAGGCCGAATACTGAAAGCTTTACACGTGTGATTGCAACTCAAATATCTCATCCCAACAGATAGGTATTTACGTGTATACAAGAGGAACATAAAACAAATCACCAATTGGCATAAATTTATGCTGGCGAGTGATATTTCTCGGATAAACAATGAATTCAAACCGGGTTATTTGAGCCCACGTATAAAAATCGCCGTTTTACAATACTCAACGATGCTAATTTTGCCGCTCAGCAGACTTTGGCATTGATACATTACCCACGCACCATATTTCAGGTATCATATTGATATGTATATATATATATATTTATACTGACAAATAGTATCTATCCATTTGCTTGAAAGGTCGTGTTAGATTAAACTACCGAGGCCTACGCTATTTGATATTCTATTTGTCTTAGTACGAATTATTGTCATTATTTGATAATATGAACGATTATCTGAAAAAAACAAAAGCAGAATCAACTATTGTTGCTGTTGTTCATGTAACAGTCTAAAACAGTCGTCGGGAACCCATGGCTCGCGAGCCATATATGGCTCTTTTGGTGACGACATATGGCTCCCAGAGAATTTGATATTCCAAGAATAAGCTAATTATTGTTACCAGATATCAAACTATATATATATAGCTAAATGTGGGATAACATTAGCCATTACGTTTAGGAACATGCTATGTTATAATGTTAAGTGAGAGAAGTGCCAGATAGACATTGCGACAAAACTAAATAATTCTGGAACATATTTTGTGACATCACCAAGCGATTTAAAGTTGGTAAACGATCGAAAAGCATTCCGTCCGTTCGTACTGTTTATTTGTAATATTTAGGCTTACCATACCATACGCTTTAGGCGGGACAGTCCCGCTTTTCAGCGTTTTGTCCCGCCGTCCCGATAAGTCAGCCAAAAGTCCCGCTTTTTCAGCATAATACACAAACATGTTCTCGTTACTGTTGTTTCTTTGCAGCGCTAGCCTACTTACTGAAGGCGAATGCGTTCGTTTCCCACTGATTCCCATTGATGGCAGACATATCGCATGTAAAACCAATACTAATTAGTCTAAATTCGAATTATTTGTACCGGTATCGTTAACGTCAATTCCTTCCTATTTTTCGAACTGAACCCGATATTTGGACAGAGAATATGCGCATGAAATTTCGATCACAATATGGTCAATAAAGACAGCCGAGACAGCTTTAAATGTAGGAATGTAGGCCTATGTAGTAAAATCGGAAAATGTGAAGTTATAAAATCACAGCTAAGGGGTCGTTGTCTTTCGAGGCGTCCCGATTTGAAGTCACGAAAATATGGTAACCCTAGTAATATTTAGATTATCATAAGCAATACGAAGATGCCTAATAGGAAGAAAGGCGATTAGTATCGTGGATTTCAACATGTGTTGCATGTGAGCAGTCGTTCAAGGCCATCAGCGACAACTTGCAGCATCAGAAATTACATTAAATGTATCTTGAGGCACTGTATGTGTTGACTTTTGAGTGAAAATTTAGGACATGATTAGGGAATGGAAATTCCGTATGGCTCGCACGAAAATGCAATTGAAAATATGTATCTTTTATGGCTCTCTTGGCAAAAAAGGTTCCCGACCCCTGGTCTAAAACAAACAATTAAATTGTCTACGGATGAGAATAAAGGGTTTACAGTAAAATTTTTGTTATTTAATTTGCTAAAAAATGTAATCGACACAGTAAATAGGACGATATGTGTTTAACCAGAACGTGACATTTGCGATTCAATAACGTTCAATTATTTCGTCAACATTTACTTTAGGTCACAAAAAAAATATTTATTTAATAATTTTCGTGCTCGTTCTAAAAGCAAATTGACAAGCAAATTCGAATGACCCAAGGTTAATAGAGTCGTCGTTGGTGGTCGATGCTAAGATATATTACAGACAACGATAACAAATAACTCGTGCCATGTTGGAATGTGACGGACATTTCCTACAAGTATACAAGCGATAAAAATAGATTTAGATGCAAAATTTATTATATCTTGTTGTTTCCAAAAATGGAATCATCACTAGCATATGGTAATAAAGTATTGAAAATAGACCGTGATTTTTCATTTTAGTCTAGTAATGAACTAAACAGTATAAATAATAAAACACCGGAGAATACAAAGCGCCCGATGAGGAATTAATTTGCCACTTTCAGAGTTTTGTCATATTCCCGAGGTCACAAGAACTCGGATAGGTAACGTTGAAGTGACATTCTTTTGTTATCAAACCTGAATTACTTACTATAATCTTCCAGCACAACGCCACATACTAGCGCCCAATCACAATAAAAACCACTCAATTTATTTATTACATGAAATACCGATTTAATTACTTCGATTTCAACGATATTATAAATTTATAATGCAGAATGACAACTTGAGATTTTCTATATTCGTGGGATTTAATCGTTCTGAATGATTCATTTTTCTGTCAAAAATACCCACTCGGCCGTGTATGAATGAATGACGTCGAATATACGAAAAATTCTCTGCAATTCGCGCCCGCACGTGTTCATTTGTTCTACGATATAAGTATCTTAATTTACCCTTTTTTAATCATTATGATAAACGTTATTTGTTTTATTATATAATAGATCTTATTCCTTCTTGTAACAACTTCATGTTTGAGTCTAATCAAAACAACTACCTTTCATTTTCATAACATACTTTCGTTCTATGAATTGTTGTTGTATATTACGAATCTCTGACAAAAGCACAAAACTTATTGACGATGTGTATGTCGCTTGGGAATAACTGCCTAATATTCCGAAATAATTCAAGATATATTCTATACGGAATCATGTTTATTGACACCAGGTGCAAGCGGACGAAGCGAGTAACAACAATCTACGGACATTTAATTTAAAATATTTAACATTGCGTTCGCATTTCAGGGACTTACATATGTAGTACAGATGCTATTGGATGAAGAAGGGGTCGTATGTATAGAATAATTTAACCTTTGCAAATTTTGTAAAATCATGAATTTCTTTTTCATTATCCAATCTGATGGCGCACCCGGTGGAAAGATTTGTAACGGATAATACTAAGAAATACATATTTAATATTCAAATTAACAGCTGCAGTTCGCTAAAAATTGGTATAAAATAATGAAAACACATGCAATAAAAAATCCAATTCTTTTATCATAAACACATTTCTTGAAAGGGATAAATAGCAAGCACTTAATGGTCAAAATGAAAAATGGACAATTTGCCCAAATTCAAGTACCAGCATCGAAATTCTTGGTAGACTATAGGCTATCGAAAAGCAGCGTGGCCAGCGACGTGGATCAGCCTTTTTTAAATGTATTGGTTGGTACATGCGCCTGACGAACAGCAATCATTTTTATCACCTACATTTTTGCGAGTATCAAGGTCGGAGGATTTCAACAGAAATTTTCACTACGTGTTCTACTATTATAGATGACCTAAAACTATTCAACATGTATCAAATTATAGGCTTGATGGCCAATTTGTAATAGACAGAAACAAAAGGTTTTGAAGAACACTCGTCATATATCT